GGATGGTACGTGGCAAAAAAGACCTCTGGAAACGCACTGTGGATGACCGCAGTGGCTCCAGGTAGTATGGATGAACTCTACTCCGGTGGCGGGCGGTGCGATGGTAAAAACGAGACGTTGGTATCATCTCGAACAATTCCTCAGAGCACTCCCCATGGAACATGCGGTACAAAATACAGAGGGACCCGAAGTCCCTCCGCAGACCCAGAGGCTCCAAGCGATCAAAATCATTTATATCAACTTAGATGTCAGTATAACAAACTTGTTGAATGTCAAAATATAAATAACAATGTTAACTCTACCACCGGTTCCAAAAAAAGCCACAGTCCTGAGAAGAACCGGCGAAACAAACTCAGCGGGCTCTTTTTTTTTGTTTTTTCTCAATTTTTTTTTTAATAATTAAAAATATTTGCAATAAACGAAAAAAACAAGTCAAAAAAAAAACAATAAAAATAAAAATAATAATAATGAAAAATGAGAAGGCCAGGAGCGAGCGCCTCAAGATTGGTGGCGGCATTTACGTGTCCAGTCTAAGGACACCTCTTTGCACAAGTTAGGTCGTAGGCACGTTCACACATTAAAACAAAACGTATTGGATAAATAATACACTGGTTATTCGGTGTAATACGACCGCGGAACGTCTGTTGTTCTACGACTGTTTTTACTGTTGTTTGAGCGGAAACAGTTTGTTGAACGACTGTTTTTTACTGTTCAACTGTAACCTTAAATAAACGCGCAGTGTGCGTTATTGCTTGCTAAGATTTTCGGTCGTATTACACGGAACGCTGTTATACGTCGTCGTGGCCTAAATGATAAGACGTCCAGTGCATTCGTGTTGAGCGATACACCGGTGTTCGAATCTCAGGCGGGTACCAATTTTTCTAATGAAATACGTACTCAGCAAATGTTCACGATTGACTTCCACTGTGAAGGAATAACATCGTGTAATAAAAATCAAACTTATTACTTATTACTGGTGGTAGGACCTCTTGAGAGTCCGCGCGGGTAGGTACCATCACCCTGCCTATTTCTGCCGTGAAGCAGTAATGCGTTTCGTTTTGAAGGTTGGGGCAGCCGTTGTAACTATACTTGAGACCTTACAACTTATATCTCAAGGTGGATGGCGCATTTACGTTGTAGATGTCTATGGGCTCCAGTAACTACTTAACACCAGGTGGGCTTTGAGGTCATGCACCTATCTAAGCAATAAATAAAAAATAAAAATATATACATAGAAACGAGTAATGTTTTTTAAAAATGAAACGTTATTTTATCCTTATTCAAACTTGACCTTACAATAAATCCCAGTAGTCGTCTACTTCACACAAATGCTCTCATACATTTTTATTTCTCATAAGGGAGGCATACATAGTTATCTTTGCCTTTACAAAGCCAATACTAGATGCGATCCCGAGAGGTACGTAATGCGCAACGCGATGATGTATGTGTGTATACTGTACCTAAATCTAGTACGGAGAAACATCTGAGACAGTAAATTCCGAGGAAACAATACTTGTGATCTTTATGATTTTCCATAAAACTGATTCGGATCAGGAATATGAATACAGATAAACATTCAGTTATTTCCCTAGAGTTCTGGCCGGATTACGGCTCTGCGAGTATGTCCACAATTATTAATCAATAATCATAGATTTGAGATTAAATTTTTCCGATATAATATCGACGGCGCCGCGGCGGTTCAGATGGTTATTTCCTTTATTTTTGTTTTACAGGTAAACTTTAACTATTTTGTTGGGTTTCTCCTGTGTTTTTTTTTTAATTGCTTAGATGGGTGGACGAGCTCACAGCCCACCTGGTGTTAAGGGGTTACTGGAGCCCATAGACATCTACAACGTAAATGCGCCACTCACCTTGAGATATAAGTTCTAAGGTCTTAGTATAGCTACAACGGCTGCCCGACCCTTTAAACCGAAACGCATTACTGCTTCATGGCAGAAATGGGCGGGGTACCCGTGCGGACTCACAAGAGGTCCTACCACCAGTAATTACGCAAATTATAATTTTGCGGGTTTGATTTTTATTACACAATGTTATTCCTTGACCGTGGAAGTCAATCGTGAACATTTGTTAAGTACGTATTTCATTTGAAAAATTAGTACCCGTCTGCGGGATTCGAACACTGTTGAATCGCTCGATACGAATGCACCGGACGTCTTATCCTTTAGGCCACGACGACTTCCTGTGTTTATATCCTAAACGCATAAGTTTCTAGCCTGATGTTTGGGCCGAAGAATGTGGAATGATTGATCCGTTTATTCTCTCGTTCGATTAGTTAAATAGTGATTAATATCTTTGTCTTGTTGCTCTCTTCTGCTGATTGCTGACAGAAATGAATAGGACGGGTCGTCAATGCATTCCAAACCTTTTGTGGGTAATAATTGTTAGTTACCATTGATTCGAGACTCTTGAATGTCAACAACTCTTTTTCAAAAGTATTGGAATATGTATTCGGCTAAGGATCTGATCGGGACGACAAAATTTTGATTTTTGTAGCAGACGAAAATATTAGGAACACATATAATACAAGCTTGTACCCACTGAAAAGTAAGAGGAGAGAATTGAAAGACTGCAAACAGATTTGTCTGATCCTGCAGTACAGGTAACAGCACTGAAATACCGGAGCTTAATTCTTAATTCTATATAACTTTTTTCATTGCTACCACACTTAGATAGCACATACGATTGATGGTATTTATTAACATTACCAGCTTATCTTTATATTATTAATACGTGAAGCAGAAATTTTGTACCCCTTTTTACGAAAATTGCGCGGGCGGAGGAGTATGAAATTTCTCACTTCTCTCTTATTTCTATAGAGAATATAGAGAAGGAGTGCAGAATGCTAATAATTTTCTTAATTATTCATAAAAAATTCATTAAATCAATAAAGAAAACGTTATACACACTACCGTGTATTTGACACACATACATTTACACACACATATTATCTGTGTTGATTGTCAAAATTTTGTTATTGTTGAAAGTCTGTGGTCAAATTGAGAATAGATTATTAATGTTTGTCTTTAATATTATTTGTTTATAGTGTAGTAGTCTTGGCGAAATCGGTGATTATAGAAGTATTATAATAGTCTATGACAATAAAATCATAATAGTGTAACGACCTTACAATTTTTATTAATTATAGTCGAATTTCGACCACCGGGAGACAACTAGTAAAATTAATCTGGAGCCCATGGACATCTACAACGTAAATGCGCCACCCACCTTGAGATATAATTTCTAAGATCTCAGTATAGTTACAACGGCTGCCCCACCGTTCAAACCGAAACGCATTACTGCTTCACGGCAGAAATAGGCAGGGCGGTGGTACCTACCCGCGCGGACTCACAAGAGGTCCTACCACCAGTAATAAAATAATATTGTTTAATAATATTGTATTTTCGATTTTACTGTTGAAAATCGTGGTAGCAAAGCGTCGTATAAAGCCAATTATAAAATAGCCGCGGAAGTTTTGTCGATTCGTAAATAACATGGACGCCGCGTCGCGTAACTAGAAACATTGAAACCATTTAAAATTTAAATCGAAGTGCACGTTTCCCATCACAATTGAATTCGCAAATGTTTCCGAAACAATTTTGACGGTTCCCCTACGATTTGTCGCTAAATGTGTTTTTGTTCGGTGAAGGAATATTTCATAGTACTAGTGGTCCCCGCAGTAGTCGAAATTCGACTATAATAATAATTAAAACTAGATGATGACCGACCGGTTTTTTTTTCTCGATAACGCCATCTTGTTGTGTCTTTAAAAGTATTATTATTCGCCAATAGATGTCGGGAAGAGTCATAAAGTTGATTATTGAAAACAAGAATAAAACAACATTTTCTGAAAATAAATCATAGCTAGACCGATTTATCCCCTGTATACTAAATTTTATGAAAATCGTTGGAGCCGTTTCCGAGATTCAGATTATATATATATTAATATACAAGGATTGCTCGTTTAAAGGTATAAGATATAAGTTTGAAAATTATTATGGTTCTATTGTCAAAAACTATTCTACTTCTTCAGTGACAGATTTCGCCAAGACTACATTAAAGACAAACAATATTAATCTATTCTCAATTTGACCACAGAATTTAAGCAATAACAAAAGTTTGACAATAAATAAAGAGTATAATATGTGTGTGTGTCAAATACATGGTAGTTTGTGTAATATTTTTTTTATTGATTTAATGTATTTTTAATGTATAATTTTTGAAAAACATTAGCATTGTGCGCTTCTTCTCTATAAGTGTGGGCAATTTCATACTCCTCCGTCCGCGCAATTTTCGTAAAAAGGGATACAACGTTTTTGCTTTGCGTATTATCGAATATATGCCAACAGCCGAGGCTATAAAGACCGCCGAGGATAGAAAGACGTGTGGAAGTATGGCGCATCGATTGGTTAACATTTCAAACTAGACACGACCTTCAGCAGTGAAGAGACTAACTCAGAAGATGAAGAAGAATCGACAAAACTGCATAGTCTACATTGAAGCCCTCTTTACCTTTACAAGCTGCACAATTTTCTTGTTTATTGCTAAGATAAGTGGACGAGAACACGGTCTGCTATTAAGTAGTTACCGGAACCCATACACATAAACAACAAATGCCACCACCCACCTTGAGACATGAGTTCTGAGACTTCGTTTTTACAGTACAACGGCTGCCTAACTCTTCAAATTCAAATGAATTACTGCTTCACGACAGAAATAGGCAGGGTACCCCCGAATCGAACTTGAAGCCTTATCAATGAGTCTAATCGTTTTATCTTAAGCGGATACATATTAAATGCAAAAAGAAACTAATGCCCTAAATTGAGAAACCCGTCCTAGTTTTTTATTTCAAATCGAGGGTATAATTCAATTAAGGAATTCGTTAAAGCTCACGGTTGGAGTCTATTAATAAAATACCAACATTGGTAAACTAAGCGAGGATCAATAGTGACCAAAGCTGATATTTGGTTTGTTTGTTTCAGATCTAAGTCAAAGTCAGCTGCTATGCCGAGGTGTACCGCCTCACAAAGTGACCGGTCTACGTGCTCACGCTCCACGAATCTCCTTCACCAGCAAGGAGGAAAATGACACCCAGGAGCTGCGCAGGAAATCGGCCAGCAGCCGGCTTGGGTGCTCACCCAGAACCAGCATCGCCAGTGAGGACAGAAGTGATGGGCTCGCTCTTAGGTATGTTAAAATTTAACTAATTAACAATTTCATTTAAATGTGATTTTAAGTAACGAAGCAGTTAGCTTATCTACTAATTTTAAATATAGACAATATCTTAATTATATTTTTTTTTTATCCTCAAAATTAAGACCAAATAATCAGCATAAACAGCAAACCGTATTTTAATTTAAATAATCTTCTTTTTATCCTTTTGATCTTTGTTTGAATATTAAGCCAAACTGATAAAATTCTTGTATTGTCATCGGCCTTTAATGCGTGGGCCAAATTTACAAGCTAATCGACGTTAAAATAATGTTCAAATATTCCGTTACATAGAAAGATAAAAGTGATTCAATATTTTTTTGTTAAATAAATACAATTCTCTTTACATACATAATAGGTTGGGGAAAAAGTTTCTTCGCATTTTTTAAGAAAATTCATAACATTTTTTAATACAGTTTATTTACATTTAACTAAAGTATGTAGGTACCATTTTGTTCTCTAACTGTTTGCCATCTTGTAGGTAGGGACATGATCCCATTGCTACAGACATTTTGGGGCTTCTGATCAAAATACCGCGACAATTGGTTTTGGCAGTCCTCTCGTCATGTTAACCTGACACTGCCCAAAGATTTCTGAAGAGACTGAAACAGGTAGAAATCTGAAGCTGCAAGGTCAAGACTATACGGCGGATGCATTAACAACTCCCAGCCAAACTCTCTTAACTTTTGCTGAGTGGCTAAAGCTGTGTGAGGTTTAGCGTTATAATGAGGAAAAACCACACCCCTTCTGTTGATTAATTCCGGGCGCTTTCTCTCAACTTATTGCTTTAATTTCATCAGTTGTTCGCAGTAGAGTTCAGAATCGAAGGTCCTGCCTGGTGGTAACAGCTTATAATGAATAACGCCCTTCCAATCCCACCACACACACAGCATCACCTTGTTGCGAGTAAACCCGAGTTTCGCCACAGTCTGTGAAGCCTGACCGGCCTTTGACCACGACCTTTTTTGCACGTTCTTGTCGTACGTGATCCACTTTTCATCACCAGTTATCAGCTTCTTCAAAAATGGTTCGGTTTCATTACGTAGGTAGTAATAAAGAAACACAAATGAGTATACGGTTCATTAGGTTTCTTTTAGTGAGCTCGTGAGGTACCCAAATATCGAGCTTTTTTGTGTACCCAGTTTCTTTCAAATGCGCCAAGACTGTTTTGTGATCAATTCCCAGCTCTTTAGCTATGTCGTAACTACTGATATGCCGATCCAGCTCCACTTTTTCAAAAATGGCATCCACTTTATTCGTAATAGGGCGACTAGAGCGACGTGCATCTTTGACATCAAAATTTCCGGATTGAAAGCGCTTAAACCAAATTTGTGCTACTCTCACAGACACTGCACTAGGTCCATAAACATCGCAAATTTTTTTCGCAGCTTGCGTTGCATTTTTACCTTTCTTTTGTAAAATTTTAAAATGTATCGAATTTCTTCATTCGAATCATTAGCTGATTCACTCATCTTGACAACTCGAAAAAAAAAAACACATTTTCTTAATTTGAATTTTGAATTATCTTCTTTACAATTGAAACTTTTACTGATACCACAACCAGCCATATACAAATAGTATAGTTAAAGAGATTTTATTGCAAGTTCATACATACTATAATGCGAAAAGCCTCGAAGTCGTCGTGGCCTAACGGATAAGACGTCCGGTGCATTCGTGTTGAGCGATGCGCCGGTGTTCGAATCTCAGGCGGGTACCAATTTTTCTAATGAAATACGTACTCAACAAATGTTCACGATTGACTTCCACGGTGAAGGAATAACATCGTGTAATAAAAATGAAACCCGCAAAATTATAATTTGCGTAATTACTGGTGGTAGGANCGATTGACTTCCACGGTGAAGGAATAACATCGTGTAATAAAAATGAAACCCGCAAAATTATAATTTGCGTAATTACTGGTGGTAGGACCTCTTGTGAGTCCGCGCGGGTGGGTACCACCACCCTGCCTATTTCTGCCGTGAAGCAGTAATGCGTTTCGGTTTGAAGGGTGGGGCAGCCGTTGTAACTATACTTGAGACCTTATAACTTATATCTCAAGGTGTGTGGCGCATTTACGTCGTAAATGTCTATGGGCTCCAGTAACCACTTAACACCAGGTGGGCTGTGAGCTAGTACACTCACCTAGCAATAAAAAAAAAAGACTTTTTCCCCAACCTATAAATTTAATGATGTCTCATAAAATAACATGAGACATTATTTATAGGTCGGTTTATTATTTCATTATTTATTTTACTTTTACTTTATTATACTACTATTTATACAGCAGTGTTTCACAACACTTAGATATTGTTAATCCTTTAATTCGGACAAGCCAAATCCCTTCTCAGTACGATCTCTCGTAACACAGAGGTGTCACTGGGTAAACTTTGTACGTGGAAACTAATTTAATAGTGGGACCTTAAATACATTGTCTAAGCCGGGTTTTGATATAAGTCAAAATAGCACTTATTTTGTGTCTCATAGTTGATATGGACTTCGATATTGTTGTCTTTAGACATTAATTGGTCATGTACATAATGAACAGTAAGTCTAAATGTCAATTCTAGTCCAATATTAGGTATTTTTCTGAATATATTTATTTTGTGCTTTTTATTAATTATTTATTTATATATGAGCAAATTTGGCCCGCTTTGCTTGGCGATTATTGATTTGAGTTTGACAAGATCGCTTCCAAAGTTCCAATGATAGTAAATTATGATAATTTCTAAGTTATGTAAATGTTATTACACCCATATCAATTAGATCAGCTGTTCGCTTCAATGTAACCGAGCTACTGAATCACGTTAAAATAACATCACATATTACAATTGAATCGTTATGCTTAAGCTAAGATCGAGTTGGTTTTGAACTGTTTTGAATTTATGAAAACAGTATAATTTATTGAAAACAACAATGTACGTTATATAATTTGATGAATATCTGTTGAAGGGTGTTTGGATGTGCAATGATTGGTTTGAAAATAACTTAAATGTACCTTTTTTTTAACCTACCTAAGCTGATAGCCTTGAGAGGCTATTTCAGCGTTACCTTAACTAGTAGGTGAGCTCACGGGGCTCAAACCTGACGATATTGCTAACACGAAACCTAGCAAGAGCCGTGCTTCGCAGAATCTACCACCGGATCGGAAACGCGACCCCCTGAGAAGATCCGGCGAGAAACTCAGTGGGCTGTGTCTGAGGGTTAGTTTACTCGTCGAGCCCATCGTCGCAAGCGACGTGTTCGACGAAAACGGTGACCGGTGCTTGAGGTATCTAAAAGCACCATTAGTGGATCGAGAGGATCCGAAATGACGTGTTTGGGGCGACGTCGACTGCTTTCCATTCTTTTCGCAGGATCGGGAATGTAGTTACCGGTGGCCACGATGAGAGGGTTCTCGTGTTGTGCCGCTTTATCGAAGTGGCGCATCGACGCCGACTGCAGATACTTACTGATGGACTCTAAATCCAGGTCGTCATGGAGGTCGACGTTCCTGACGAACCACGGGGCTCCGACGGCTATCCTGCAAAAACGGGATTGAATAACTTGGAATGATTTTATGTTAGTGCGGGCCGCGTGAGCGATCACTATCCTTCATAGGTCATGACGGGCGTATGCAAGTTTTGTAGAGTGTCACCTTATTTCTAAGGGACATTTTACTTCGCCTGCATATCATCGGGTAGAGACGTCCTAGTATGAAGGCGGCACGGTCGCGTACCGTCTTTATATGGGGGCGGAATGTCATCCTTCTGTCGAGGGTGACGCCTAAGTACAGGGTGGCCCATAAGTCCTTTGAAAAGTAAAATTTGAATAAAACGAACAGGGCGCGCGTGAGCGGTGCAGGGGAAGCGTGGGGAGTAACTTCGGTTTCTGGGAATTTAATCGCGATGGAGCGTTTTACCGGAGCGGACCGTGCGTTTTGTGTGCGCGAGTTTTATAAAAACGACAATTCGGCAACCGTTGCGCGGCGTAAATTTCGAGAACACAAAGGTTTACACAACTTTGACGACACTCCAACTCTTCAAACGATTAAGAACTGGGTTGCTAAGTTCGAGGAGACCGGTTCGACGTTAGATAAACCGCGGTTGGGTCGCCCAAGGACGTCACGTACGGAACAAAACATAGACACAGTGACACAGTCTATTCGCGAAAATCCGACACAGTCAACTCGTAAGCGATATGTGGCTATGATCGAAGAGTTTTTCATACCAGAATTGCAAAACTTTTCAGGCTTTAATGCCAGGACGTGGTTTCAACAGGATGGGGCCACTTCTCACGTCGTTTGCAAGAGTGCCGTGATCGCAACGGATTACATTTAGGAGATGTTATTTTAAAAAAATAATTCCCGTTTTTTAAGCTTTTTATGTAAATAAAAATTTAATTCATAATGTAATTAGTTTTATTTTAATAATTTTTTTTCATATCAAAGGACTTATGGGCCACCCTGTATTTGACCTTCGGGGCCCATGGTATGGGTTGGTCGTACATCATGATTGGGCGAATGGCGGAGGCGGAGGTATTGATGCGCCTAGAAATGTACCGAAACACTGTTAATTGTATTGCTGAGTTTCTCGTCGAATCTTCTTAATGGGTCGCGATTCCGATCCGGTCGTAGATTGAGCGAAGCATTGTTTTTTCATGAATGATGGATTACTGGTGGCCCAGAGGCCTTTCCAGTTTCACCAGGACAGGTGGGCGAGCACGGGCTCAGCTAGGAGGGGTGGGATTTGCTAGCAGCTGCCCGAGAGCCTCCAAAGGAGATCTAATAACTCAAGAGTAACTGCTTCGCGAATGAATTTACTACCGGTTCGGAATCGACTCATTAAGAAGATTCGGCGAACTTAACTTGAATTCTACCGTTCGTCTTCCAATACGAGGTCACAGTTTCAATGGCACCTCAATATCACCTCCCCACTCTTCAACCCGTAATATATACTATATAGTATATGTCGGCGCAACCTCACTATTTAGTTAACTAA